ACCGGGGCCAAGGCCTGTTTCAGCAGATGTGCCAGCGGGAGAGCCCTGGGATGCTGGCCCTGGAGTACTGGCCGCAGGGGAATGGGGCCACTGCTGGGTGCTTGAGGCAGAACCTCGTAATGTTCGTAAAAAATACTTGAGGTGACACTGCGGGAGGCTTTGCTTCCACGAAGAAAAGTGTGTTTTCCTGGCATAATAGAATGTGTGGTAATTGCTAGTGAGGAGGGGGCACACAAAGTGATGCCACATCCAAGGGAGGACCCTCGGCCCGGGCGGCGCGGGAAGGGACGGGAGCGGGGGAAGCCGTAATCGCCAGCAAAAAAGGAACCGGAGCAGATACTGTCCGGTCTGCAGCCCCTCTGTACTCCCCACATGTCCTCAGTTCACCCCTGCAGCACACGTGGGATGGAAAATGGAGTTTTCTTACAAAATAAAGCAAGAGGAGTCTCTCTTCTGGGTTTCTTCCACGATGCAAGTGAAATGGAAAGTAGGAAGTGTTTGGCTGGAATGCGTGGAAGAGAAGTGAGAGAGAGCACAAGAGGGGGGCTGGGACATTGGCTGGATTTAGGAACAGGGAGGGAGGGAAATGGAGAGGAAGGGCTGCCAGCAGCTGCTGGCACTGCGAGAGAACAGGAAATAGAGAAGATAAGAGGAGAGGAAGGAGGGGCAAAAGGAGAAGGGGACAAGAATGACGTTGCTGTGGTGGGCAAGGGCCATCTGAGAACACTGTTTAAAAAATTCTGGGATGTCAGGAACGCTGTGAAACAGGTGACCTAACACAGTTCCGATGACTTCACCCTATGCTATGTGTGCTTACGCTGGCCAGCAAGTGATCAACCTTTGCTTGAATATCTCAGATTCTAAACTAGTTTTGGGTTGCGCATTTAGCAAGTATATGTGGAAGACTCTGATAGTGTTGTATTGAGATTTTTTCAGGGTCCCTTCATCAATAATTCTGACGCTTTCCATGGGCAATGACTGCTCTGAAGCAAAGGAACATTTGGTGTTAAAAGCAAAGGGCTCTTGAAATCGTTTGCGCTCTTTACTGCTGCAGAATAGTTTACACTGCTGCCAAACACAATGTAATACTGCATCTCACACTCAGGGGATACACTGCTGAGCAGAGTGACTTTAGCACTAGATCCCAGGCCTATAAACAACTGGACACATCTTGAATGAAATTTATTTGTATAAAAGCATCTGTCTCTTTTCAGTCTAGTCTACTGTGCAAAAAATGTGGTGGCTTGTTTGTGTAGTGCTTCCTATCTCCAGTGATAAGCTTACTAAAATTAGGAGTTATGAAATAACTTAACTTTTAAACTGCTGACAACTGTCAGGTTGAAATTCACAAACTTGCACAGAAGTAATTTAATGACCTGAATTTAATCCCTGCTGGTATGTTTCAATGCTAAAGACAAATATATTTCACCAAAATAAAGTCTTGGGTTTTTAATAGTGTTTTTATTCCCACATTGAGCAACCTATTTTTATGCTTTATTTTATTGGGGTTTGAACAGAAAGGGTTTTGGGGTGGGCTACTAGGGTGGCTTGTGTGAGAAGCTGCCAGGAGCTTCCCCATCCCCCATGTCCTTGCCAGCCAGTTCCAAGACAGACCTGCCACTGGCCAAGGCTGAGCCCATCAGTGATGGTGGTAGCAACTCTGGAATAACATATTTAAAAAGGGGAAAAAAGTGATTGTGCAACCCAGAGAGAGGAGTGAGGATGTATGAGTGGAGTAACTCTGCAGAAACCAGGTCTGGGGGAGGAAGTGCTTCAGGCATCAGAGCAGAGAGTTACCTGCAGAGTGTGATGAAGACTGTGGTGGGGCAGGCTGTCCCCTGCAGTCCACAGAGGTCTGCAGTGGAGTAGAGATCCACCAGCAGGCCATGGAGAACCCATGCTGGAGCAGTCTGTTCCTGAAGGACTGGGTCCAGTTGAAGAGGTCCACGCTGGAACAGTTTGAAGAATTCCAGCCTGTAGGAAGAACTCATGTTGGAGAAGTTCATGAAGGATTGTCTCCAATGGGAGGCAGCCCACACTGAAGCAGGGGAGGAGTGTGAGGAGTTCTCCCACTGAGGAGGAAGGAGCAGCAAAGACAAGTTTGATGAACTGACCAAGCCCCCAGTCCCAGCTCCTCTTTCTCAGCTGAGGGGGAGGTAGAGAATTTGGGAGAGAAGTGGAACCTGGGAAGAAGGGAGGGGTGGGGGAAAGGTGATTGGTTCTATTTCTGATTATCTCACTCTAATTCCATTTATTATCAAACAAATCGGTTTCCCCAAGATGCATCCGTTTTTCCTGTGACAGTAATCAATCAATGATCTCTCCCTATTTTGATCTCTACCCACAAGACTTTCAGTGTATTTTTCCCTCTGTCTGGTTGGAAAGGGCAGTGGCAGGGTGGCTTTGGTGGGCACATGGCTTCCAGAGAGGGTTAGGCCTCCACATTTATTTAAGACATAAAATATCCCCCTTACACAAAGATCTGATGGCAACAGCCCAGTGATTTGCCCTTTTCAGAAATTAATGTTATGTTTTCACTATGACTGTGTGTTTGGGGTGTCTCTTCTCCGTTTTTTTCTTTCAAGAAGCTCATACCCCAGGGTAGATAGGGAGGAAGGGTTTTCTCTGGATGCCATTGTCCCTAGGCAGTATATGGGAAGACAGTAAGTGGTAGATAATCCAAGTGTTCCTTGAAATTCATTGGGGACATCAGATACCTTTCCACTTGCTCTTATATACAAGTCCCTCTGCCAGTCCTCCTATGGGCTAGATGATGTTGGACTAGTAAGTCAATAAAGGACTGACAAGGTTACATTTAACTTTCTAGAGCACTAATCTCCAGTTCTGTTTAGGATTCCAGTGTCTGATTTTACCCCAGTACTCTTCTTATTTTTCTTAATAATGCTGCATAGAAAAGCTCAGATGCCTACCCTTACATCTGCATAGGACCCATATTCCTTGGAACAATTCACATGGGACCTCCCAAGGCCTCTCTGTTGAGGTGACCACAGCCACAGTCAAAGACAGATAACAACTGTTGTTACCAGCTTACCAGAGCAGCTCAGATTTCAGGTAAAGTTGTTTACACAAAGGGAAGGTCATGGTTTAAAGCTCCTTGAGTCCTAACCAGAGCTTTCAAACCTTTATAGTATCAGTTCAAATTGAAGATAGAAAAAATGGAGAGGCAGACAAAATGGAATTTGTGGTCCAAAGTCCCTGATATAAAGTGAATTATTAATCATGCTAGAACTATTTTCACTGTTGCCACAGTAAGTTACTAGCTGTGTTTTGTGAAAAGCAGCAACTGTATTTTGTACTGCTGAGGAATGTCCTATCTCACCACCATTGTCTTTGCACTGTGTTTGCTGTAGATCGATGCCTCCATTCTCCAGTACTTTGGAAGCCACACGAGAAGAGCAGTTCTGTATGCACCTCCTGCTCACCATGAAGCTGACCGTCAGCTCTGTCAGCGCATCCTGGCAAAACATGGATATACCGTCACAGTCCTTGGAAACAGGGGACTCGTGGAAGAGCTGAGGCATGAGGGCCCTTACCACAGTAAGAATAATTTGACTTAGTTAATATGTTAATTAATAAGTGTGATCACTAAATGTAGAATTGATCCAGTGTTCTTCAACAAACAGAAAGCATAAAAACTCTGACAAAAGAAATTGTAGAAGCCAAATTCTAGCCCTTCTCTGATGCGTGGATATTTTTCCCACAGTTAGGTCATTCTTCCATTAGCTATATCCTTCTGTAAAAAATGCAGCAGAGTAGTTCATCATAGTCTTGAACTAAATCAGATCAGTTTGGTTCCTGATGACTTCTCAAACCTACTTCATCAGTATAACTGAGGGATTTTCAATGGAATGTTTCATAACAAAACACATACCTACTACATTTTCTACCTTATCCTTTTCTCTCCTAAAGAAAACTTGTTTGTGTGAAGTTTTTTTCCACTATTAATGTTTTGATTGTTCTGTAAATTTGTTAAAGAACACAATATAGAACAAGTACATTTTGAACTTGATGCTGAATCTGGGATAGATTACTGTTGGTTCTTAGTTCGTCTTGAAATTTGATCCACACTACAAGCCGTCTACTGAAGAATCCTGATCTCTTGCACAAAGGACTGTAGCTTTATTGTGTAGAGTTACACTGTGCTTGATAGAGAAGCTTGGGCCCCAGTTAGATGTGTGATGACCATGTTTGAGTATTCTTGGACATCTCAGAGGTATGAACTGAAACTGTGATGCCAGTCTGGTGCTGGAAGTCAGTTCAGGAAATGGAAGGCTCTGAAAAAAGTGTACAGTCTACTATTCTGCCAGAAGAAAAATGGTGTAGTTGGATATTTCTTGTGCTAAAGGGTGTACACTTTGCATCATTCAGGCTTGCAGTATACTTCTGGAGCTACCAGAGAGCTCAGGTTTGCTTTGAGTTTTAACCAAACCAGATAATTCCATAGATAATAAACTACAGTTACTTAGCATGCTTGAGATTGCTCAAAATTCCATCACTAATTTCAAGTTTCTCTAAGAAACTTTCTTGAAAATGAGGTACATGTGGTTTTCTTTGGCAGGCTGCCAAGAAGTAGTAAATTGTCTTAATCTCACTCTTACTTCAATCTAGTTTTGTAGTCACCTTTTAGCCGCTCCTTTCTTGAGTACTTTCCATCTCAGAGTGACAAGACACATGTCTTACAGCCTTTGCTAATGTCAGATGGGCTGCAGAGAAAAGTTGGTATTTCTGGGGACCATGTGCACCATGTCTGTGAAATACTTTTGTTTCAGATGGCCAAGGAAGTGGGTATGCCAAATTCAGTTGCAACTTATTAAAAAAAAAAGGAAAGGAAAAGAAAAAGAAAAAAAAAAAACTTTACTAGATTTTCCTACAGTGCTGAATTCAGATCGAAGTTCTCCTGTACAGTTTTTACACTTCAAATATTGCCTCTGCAGAAATGTGCTTAACTGTGGATATTTATACTTTACAGGCTAGAATCAGTACTTCCTGTAGTTTTTTTCCAGTAATAATAATGAAAAAAAATAATAAAAAGGTCAGGTATTTTCCAGAAACATCCCACAGCTTCCAGCAGATGTTGGATTATGTAAAAAAGACAAATGCTTGCCAACTTAAGGCAAAGAGTAAGACTCTACTGTCGTTTCATGACAGCATAAATCTGCCTTTAACTATTCTCTGTTAAGCAAGTGTCTAGCTTTAAAGTTTATGTTTTAAAAACAAGAAATAAATAATAGAGCATGTCTACATACCAAACCAATGATCTTTTCTTTCAGCTAAGCAAATTACATTCAAAGTTTATTTTCTTCCCTAGTAGATGGTGGGGTTTACTCTTCTGGATGGGATAGAACTCCTTATTTTGGAGAAGGATATTTTGAGCTATTCTTTGGTATAATATTTTTCTAAAGTGTTATTAAAAATATGTTCCTTTAGGCCTCAATTAAAAATATGTAGATAATGAATTGAGAAACACAGAGTGTGAATGCTGTGAAAAATCTAAAAAAATAGTAAGTTCTTATTATTTGGTATTTCTTAGCAGCTCTATCGGGTGCTTTTATTTGTGTGCAGTCTTTCTTACTCATGTATCTTTCAAAGCTCACTCTAAATTTGAAAGGATTTTTTTGTTTTGAATGGCTGAGAGCCAAGACTCTAGCTAAGTCATATATGGAAAAAAATTCACCACAAAACATTCCTAACTTTTTTTTGTGCTGGCCTGCTAAGAATTTTTGGACCAGTTCTGCTGCTGTTTGAAACCCAAATGTGACAGCTCTGCTCACTGATCTTCCAGAAAGATCCTCAACACCTGGACTGCAGCACTGTTCATTGCAGTCAGAGAGAAACATCAGGGGAATAGTTTTCTTCAGTGGAAATTTTTCACTTCTAACAAACCAACCAAAACCATTTTGAGTTTTGGTAACTGGAAAGCAGTTGGCTAAAAAGAAAAAAAACTTTTTTTTTTAAATCATGGCAAAGAGACTGTGGTTTATGGGTTTGCTATCAAAAATCCATACAGATGTGTTCTGTAGTAAAACATAAATTATTCAAACCCCTAATTTTTCACTGAAAAATAGCTTTGTCAGTGAATTCTCAAGCAGCTTTGCTTGAACAAAAAGTAGTTGTGCTTTCACCATTCCTTAGCAATTGAACCCACATGGAGGGAAAATTCCATGGACTGATGATACCTGTGCCTGTTCTGAGCTCTTTGAGACTTCTTTTGCAGCAGCCCTAAATGAGCCATTTGCTGTAAATTTAACATATCTCTTTGTCTGCTGCTGGTATGGAGATAGAGAGGTGGAACTGCATTAGAACTGTGTTAGTAGCAGATGATGGAATAGTCAGATTTTGCAGAGAGCTGGAATTACTACCTTGGGAAATCTGTTTTGACATGGTCAGTGTCTCCAGTAAGTATCTGTGGTAAATCTGTTTTGAAGTAAGCAGTTCAGAAGAAATTGCTGATGAGCAAACAGCTCATCATAACAGCTGATAAGAAAGGTACCAGGTTGTATTGGCCAGCACATCTACAAATGGCACATTTGTTTGGTCTGCCAGGTAATGGGGTTGGTCTTCCTTCCTCTCCTCTGGAGCAAGATAAGCCTTTGCCATACCTTGGAGGGGGTTGAAATTGGTGTCACAATCTCATGAAAAATAATAAAAGGATCAGAAGGAGGACTGAGAAAGCCCTGCACTTCCAGGCTTTCTCAGGGGAGATCTGCCATACTGAGCTGTACAAGCCTCTGGACTTCCTTGCCTCAGCCCAGGACAGAGCTGTGTTGCTCTATCAGAGATGAGTGGGATGAGCCACCTGGCTTCAGAGCCCCCTTAGATCCTCCCAGAGTGGCAAATACCAGAGAAGAACTGACCAAATATTTTCCAGTGTCTTCTGCCTTCTTCCCTGTTCTTCCAGTCTGAGAAGCTCTCCTCTCTGTTACCACAGTAAAGATTACCAGGATGTGTGTGTCCCTGTGACTCTGTGCTACCCTGCCAACATTTTCACAACATACTTCAAAAGGAAGGTTTTATCTCAGAAATTTGTTTCTCTAGTAGGCATTTCTGCCCTCCAAAAATAATATTTTCTAGTTACTGCCTGCTGCCTGAATCGTTCCTGAATTCCATACTTTGCCTCGATAACATCTTCAAAGATAAATAAACTACTTTTATCTTTCCTTACAGAGCCATCAGTTTTTCTGTCCTTTGCTGGATGTGCCTGCCTCATTACTCTTTGGTGACCCTCCCTTAATAGGCATTTCCTTAATTTCTCAATTCTTCACCTTTAGTAATAGTTATGCAAATCTCAGTCAGGCTCCAAGAAATGTGTGCAGTTGTATGTTACAAATCTGACTGGCCAATTTTAATTAATTCAGCAATAACATGCAGAATTCTGTCATTACCACTAGCTCTTGGAGTGGAAAAGATTGTGCATAAGCTCAGTGGTAGCCCACCAGTCTGGCCATGGTAAAAAGCACAGGTATTCAGGCTCCTGACAACTGAGTGCAGCATAACATTACATGCTCCCTGCTGCTTTAGAGTGTTAGTAATTTGGTGGAAGCTCTTGCAATTGCAATGAGGGACTTTAAAAAAGAATCATAAACCATTTTCATAGTATTGCTTTTACATGATCATTTCCTATTTTTAGAATACTGCAGTTAAGTATTTAACATTTACTGTTGCCTCTTTTTTGCAGTTTGAATGACATCCATTGAAGATTAAATTTTAGCCATGCCATTAAAAAGATCACTACAGTACAAATATTGATGTGGGTTGGGATTTTTTTGTATGATTTATTGTTCCATAAAATAAGTATTGAAACCATCTTAGCTTTATTCAATATTTAGCTTTTCTGTCAATTTCCATGGAAATCAACACCATTTTCATGTCCTACTCATTTTCCTGACATTGTTAAGTATGGATCATATACTACATAGACACTTAAATTTACATATATTGCAAAGAATATTAGATCCATAGTTATTTCTTATTTTCTGACATTGCCAATATACACTGGATAATGTCATTTTTTCTGCCATTTTAAGAGCATGCTATGTTTAAATACTTGGCTGTGTAAACTAAGCCCTAGTTCCAGCAACTAGCTATGAGGATGATCTAGCTTTTTGCAGATGTGGGAGTGGTGCTTGGGTGGAGCTGCACCAGCAACAGGAAGGGATGATTGAGACAACTGACCCATGGGAGCAAATCTGAGCAAATCTTGGCCTTTCTCTTCATGTGCTTGGGTCAAGAGATCTGTCTGGTATTTAAAGTGGCACTACTATGTATTACAGCAAGGAGTAAATTCCCCCTCACTGATAGAGCCATGTGAATATATCCAGGTATAACTCATTTTTCTGTAAAATGGTGGTTTGGGAATTGTAATATTATGGAGTATAAGGCCTCTGCTGCCCCCCTCTTAGCTCTCTGTAGAGAGTTTATTTGCTTCTTTGTACACAGTGGTGGTCATTCCCTGTGGTAAAAGCTGGTGTTGGGGAATGTCAGGGAAAATGAGGCTGCAGGAGCAAGCACAGGTGTTGATGTGGAGTGATGCAAAGTTT